CTGGGTGCTATGTGCACCTTAGTGCACCCAAAATTGGAGCTGTGCACCCAATTATTTTCTGTGGGTGCACCCAAATATTTTTGTTGGCATTTTTGTACATATACAAATGGTTAATAGTATACTGAATATATAGTCTAGTCTACATTTTTGAAATGTTTAACCACAATTTGACGTCCCGTTCCACAGCCCGTGCGTTCTTCCGGACCCTTCTTGGTACAGAGCCTCAAACATTCGACTACAAGTGGCTCAGGTATTGTGCTAGCCCATCTTGTTTGAGTAATTAAGATATGTTAGTTATGTTTTATTAGACATTAGGTCTTCTTCAAAACATTTATTTTACTGTTTGCTACTTTCTTTATGTAGTTTGCCATACATTGTACCATGTGCAATTGTCGTGCAATAAAGTTCTTCCTTCAGAAGAAAATTAGGTCTTCGCTTCATTTGCGTATCAGTCAATTATAGTTTGTACCTATGTACAATGTAACTTGTGCGTGCGTGTTTTCGGCAGAGCCATGTACAACGAAGGCTTTACGGGCGCGCACGTGGATTGGGTGTACATGTCACGTGGCACGGACCAGCTCTTCACCATGTGGACGCCGCTCGGAGACGTTACCATGGAGATGGGCACTCTGGCCGTCTGCGAGGGCTCACACAAGCTGCAGAGGTGAGAAACACAAACACACACACAAACACACACAAACACACACAAACACACACACACACACACATGCTCACATACACACACACACACACGCACATACACACAGGGTCACATCAGCTGGGCAGGTGGGAAACAGACAAACATACACACAAACACACACAAACTCTCATACACAAACACACACGTCAGCTGAGAAGGTGGGAAACACAGACATACATACATACACACAAACACACACATACACCCAAACACACACACACACACACACACACACACACACAGGGTCACATCAGCTGAGCAGGTGGGAAACACAAACATACACACACACAAACTCACATCAGCTCCATAGCATAGGTGGGTCACACAGACAAACACATACGCACACAGGCTCACATAAGTGTGTGTGCGTATAACAATGATGATAATGCGTAATTGTATATAAATATGTTTATATATATGAAGATTTATGTTTTGTGTTTCGCCCTCGAATTATTCCAACTCTCTCATAAAAACTGCAGTTGGAGTCAGATTAAAAATCTCTTGCTCTTATTTCCAGTTTTCAGCACTTTCAGGAGACATACGGAAGTCTGGACGTTGAGGAGGCAAGGCTCAAAGGTCAGGAAAATTCTCTGATACGACAGGGAACTTATTCGATTCAAATTATAAATGACTTAGTGGACAGTTGAATAATACAGCAATAATCATGCCTACATTAAAAAAGTACAACTTTTCTGATACAATTTAACTTTATCGATTCAATTTACAGATAGAAACGGTTCATAGAAACGGTTCATTTTTTGTTGCCATAGGAACGGGGTGGTTCATGTTTGTGTTGCCATAGGAACGGGGTGGTTCATGTTTGTGTTGCCATAGGAACGGGGTGGTTCATGTTTATGTTGCCATAGGAACGGGGTGGTTCATATTTGTTGCCATAGGAACGGGGTGGTTCATGTTTGTTGCCATAGGGACGGGGTGGTTCATGTTTGTTGCCATAGGAACGGGGTGGCTCATGTTTGTGTTGCCATAGGAACGGGGTGGTTCATGTTTGTATTGCCATAGGAACGGGGTGGTTCATGTTGCCATAGGAACGGGGTGGTTCATGTTTGTATTGCCATAGGAACGGGGTGGTTCATGTTTGTGTTGCCATAGGAACGGGGTTCTTCACGGAGGACCCTGATGAGATCACGCAGCGGTTCGGCGGTCAGTGGAAGTCGGCGGATTTCCAGGCCGGAGACGCGCTCATTTTTACCATGAGGTAAAGACTCACATTTTACATGGATAAGATAGCGCTTAGCACCGGTATAGTTAGTGTTCCTACCCACATTTTACATACTAGATTATTAACATAAGATTATCAAGCGCTTCGTATCGATATAGTTAGTGTTCTGTTCTGTCAGCGACATTGTAGTCTCCAGTGTTAGCGTTCCGCTAGTCCATTCTAAATCTATTTTCTGGGAAAGTGTTTCTTAAGTTTCACGTCTTCCTCCGCCTTGTGTGTGTAATGTTTGTTTGTTGTTTTCTCCCCTCAGAACCGTGCACATGTCGACTGTCAACACCACGCGGTTCGCAAGGGTCAGCTGCGATTACAAGGTAAAACACTACATAC